GCACATGCTCAAACGGGAACATGCAGGCCGCCCTCCGCTTCCTGGCACTCTGGCACTTGGCGTCGTAGACTAGCTTCCACCTGTGGCCACTGCTGCAATGCATCATCAGCTGACCTGGCTCGTGTCCCTTCGTGACTTCGCCAACTGGGCGTCCCCATGTACCCAGAAAGCCCAGTTGTTGGCGGCTGTCGCCCCCTCCTTCAGGGTCATGGCCTCCGCGTCGGTACGCTTCTCCTTGCCCCGGAAGGTGCGCGCGGCCGTCTGTAGCTTGTCGTAGAGGCCCTTGGCGTCCGCGACCACGGCAGCTGGCAGACTGGACAGGGCCTCCTCTGGGATCCGCCAGTCGATGCTGTTGCCTGGGGTCCCTAGCCACTGTAGTTTGTCTCCGAACAGCTCATCTTCTCCGTCCACTGCGGACATCGTCTCACATGCGACTGAGCTCTGGCACCCACGATCTATCTTGCTGGACTTCCAGGACATCATGCCCACGTCCGCCTCGCCCCCCTGGAGATCTTTAGCGGGGCCATCCCGCAGACCAGGCCCTTGGTAGACTCCCGGTCTGGCTGGTTGGACTCTGAGGAGTCGGACCACTCGATGGGCACGAGCACCTGGGCCTGGGAGTGGCTATGGATCACTATGGGGAGGCCCGCGCATTCTCGCACACGATCGACCAAACGGCTCGTCTCATTGATGGCCTGTACTGTGGATGAGGGGATCGTGCTAAGCAAGAGGCTGGCGTCGGCCGAGCGCATGGGCCCCGACTGCTCGGAACGCCACCCAACTGCGCCGAGTGTCGCCCTGAGCTGTCACTGCTCGTTGTCGGTGGGCGGCGCGTCCTTGTTCTTCTTGCGCTCGGGGGACCTATCTGCCTTCTCGATGGTCTTGATGTGCTCGCTCTGGTCCATGCGGAAGCTCTTGTCGACCAGCTGCACGATCCGGACGCCAATCTGAATGAACTTATAGGTCTCCCAGGTCCTCCACTTGAAGCGCTCCTCGATCTTCTCCCGTGCTGCTATCCACCGTGGCTCAGACTCCTTTCTCCCAATCAAGAAGTCGTCCACGTGCGAGCCGGCAATGGCCAGGATGTCGAGGTCGCCCTTCGCCGCGATCAGCCTGTCCAGCTTCTCGGGGTCCACGAAGGCCCGCAGCGCCTCCTGAGTGAAACTATGTCCTGGCCGTGAGCATCGCCGTACAACGCCCGCGCGCACGGGTCCATCTTCATCTTGGTCCAGCCAAACTCCTCAAGATCCTCACTGACTGTCATGAACCACTCGATGGCTGCTTCCACGAGCCCGCGCACGGCCTTCCGAAGCCTCATCGCGGCACCCTCGGACACCCCAAGGGCAGTGGCCAGCTCCTTGACTGGCATCACGAAGAGGTCATGCTGGATCACCCGGTTCTGCGTGAAAGCTCCGGTCACATCTGCGCTAAACCCCTTGAAGCCAAACCATGACATCACTTGCAACACCATCTGCCGAGATGTACGTGTCATGGTGGGTGCTGTCGTCGGGCGGTGTTCATGCTCTGGGTCCGTGTAGCCTAGAACCACGATCCTGGCCTTCGGCTTCTTCTCGCCCGTGGCCTCGTCTACCTTCCGCTCCAGGATCCACCGCGCGCGCATGGCGTCTTCTTGTGGAGGGGCGGTTCCCGGGGGCAGAGATTCCAGTGCCGATGAAATGGCGTAGTTGTTCACCTCGGTGTCCTTCGCGATGCTGGAACCTCATCATCTCGTCGGGCGCGAGGGTCCTCTCTGAGATCTCTCGCTAGCCCTTGCGCAGCTGGCCCGCCATGTAGGTGCCCATGTGTCTCGTGGCCTGCTTCAGGGCCTTTCCTGCGAGAGGCACCTCCACCGACGCCTCCAGCGACGTGCCCCGCCTTGTCCAGAAATCCCGGGCATCTGGTGAGGCCGTGGCCATGAGGGCAGCTCTCTCCTTCATGGTCTCCTCGGCTGATGCAGCTCTCGCTGCCTCCACCTCGTCTATGGTGCCGCCGGGATGATCCCCTTTCTTTCGGATCGACTTCCGCACTGGCTGGGGAGGGGTGCTCCTCGAAGGCTCACTTGGCGGCCCCCCATGACGTGCTTTCTTCAGAGGTGGTGCTGGCTTAGACAATCCTTCCCAGGAAGCCATCTCCTCGTCCTGGTCGGTGGGGTCGTGGCCTGAGAAGTCCAGGTGCTCCTACTGCATCGCCTGGTTCATGAAGGCGCGCGCTGTCCATGGAGTGCCCGCGCCGCCCATCAGCTCCGCGCAGGTGATCTCGCGCGCCGACGCTGCTCAGATCTGGCACAGGTCCACCTCGATGATGCGGCCTGCCCGGGCCAGCCATGCCACCGGCCCAACCCGTCCTGGATGCATGGCATGGTTCTCCCCGCGGTCACCGCCCGCCGGGCGACTGGTCTCCGCAGCGAACGCCCGCGCGAGGCCCTTGAACCAGCCCTTGGTCTCGCCCTTCTCCTCGCGGAAGTAGTGCGCCCACGCGCTAGGGGCCGCGGCCTTCAGCGCCTGGTTCTTCGCGTTCTCCGCCCGCCTGATCCGTCGCGGGTAGACCTGCCTCAAGTACTCCTGCCCTGCGGCGTGCATCTTCGTGTAGTTCTCGCCCTGCCCCCGGCCGGCCCGCTGGGCCTCGACGTGGGGGGCTCGTCGAAGTCGCTCTCAAAGAAATGGCCGTCGAGGTCTAGCGCCCTTCCCAACGCATGCTGGAGCGGGGAGTGGCCTTGAACGTCCACCCGAGAGTTTCCCCGCTGCAGTAGCTTATAGCTCGGGCGAGGGCTTCCTCGGCGGTCATCTCTGGGATCTCCACCACGTGCCTGTCCATCGTCCCCTTCGTGGCCTGGATAGCCTCTTCCGCGAGGGAGATATGTCCGTGGGCCTGCCCTGGGACCGCCTCGTACACGATAGAGTCGGAGTCGAAGTGCTCTGCAGCCTGCTCTGACATCTACGAGCACTCCGGGCCCACCTGGACCCTCTGAGGCCTCCCAGAGTATGGCAGCCCCACACTGGATTCCTGTGTCGGTCCTCACCCGTCATGTGGTAGAGCAGCTTGCTGACCCTCACCATGTAGCTCTCCTCTGTGATCAGTGAGAACTTGGACCTCGCCTTCTTCTGAGGGCGCCCCCACTCGGACTGATCGGGCTGGATGCGCTTCCACTTTGGGGGCATGGGTTCGAGGCGGACTGGTGCTTGCGTCGGTCGGTGGTGGTTCGCCTCAGCATGGGCATCGCACTGGAAATCCTCTGCCACGCGCAGCAGCTGAAGGCTCGCACCCTCTCTACTCGGCGCGTTCAGCATGGGGGCCTTCGAACTGTGGTGGCCCGATCCCCCATGCACAGAGGTGAGCCATCGCATGATCTTCTGGTACTCCTTGGAGCCCAGGTCCGCATCCGTGGAGCCTTTCTCTTTGCCTGCGGTCAGGGCCTGCTCCTCAGGCACCATGGTCTCGGTCAGCTTCCTCATGAACTCGTGGTAATCGGGCAAGCTCTCCTCAATCATGGTACGCGCCGCTCTCTTCGCAAACTCGTCTGTATAGTAGCTCGTGGATGCTGTGAGTCCACCTCCTGTGAGCTCGCCATGCCGATGACTTCCTGGACACTCGGTGGCCATCCTCGCCGCCATCTTTGGGGGCGTCGCGGCGATCTCCTTGAGAAGCGGGTCACCCTTCTCGTTCTTTTCCCCGAGCTGGCACCCGGCCACCATGACCGCGGTCATCGCGCAGTCCTCCACCATCTGCCAGATCATGGCGTGGCCCCACCCCTCGCACTTGACGGGCCATTCCCAGTGCGCGTGCTTGCCCTGCGCCACTTGGTCGTATACTAGCTGCGCCGCACCCTTGTGCTCCTTGATCGCCTGGGGCCCGCGCTTCCTGGTGGCTTCAGCTCTCGCAGGGTTGGAACCGTTTAAGCCGAGCGTGAGCGTCGCGAGTGGTCCACGCCTCGCGCTGATCCAGGTGGTCCGGATCCGACTCGTCGCGCGTCTCCCTGGCCATGCGGTTTCCAGCTGGGGCCCCGAGCTTGTGCCCAGTCTAGGAGCTGGCGCGTCGCGCTGCATCCTCGCCAAACTTCTCGGCCATCTTCGCGCTCAGGATGGGGGCTGGACTGCAGGCCACCTCCATTAGCTTGACCCCTCCACGGGCGAGTGGCGCCTCGAGGTCCTCGGTGTGGTCGGTCTCATTGATGCACCTCGCGAGCCAGCGCTGCCTCCGTGGGCCCAGCCCCCGCGGTTCAGACCCCGCCCAGACCATTCGGATTGGAACCCACTTGAAGCCCCCGTCGGATGTGCTCGGTGCCCTCGGCTGCTCCTCGAGCCTCTCCACCCTCTGGTTGAGCTGGCCCAGTGCTGATAGCATTTCCTCCTGGACGCGGCGGTTGGCCTGCTTCCCCCCCGAGTCTGCGGCCTGCTTCACCTCGTCCGCAAGCTCGTCCTTCATCGGAACGCCCACTGTCCTTCGGCGAGATGACCTCGCGCCGCCTCGAGGCTCGAACCCTAGTCGGCTCCGTCGGGACATCCACATGGTCCCTGGCCATCTGCCTCTGTAGTTGGACGACTCCCGTCTCGTTGAGCCATGAGACAAGCCTGATGAGCTCCCAGCCGCTCTCGGAGTTCGCCTCCATCTTGGCCCACTCGGCGTAGGGAGGGTACTGGATGAGGACCTGCTAGTAGGTCCCGGCGCCGTGCTTCCCGAGCCGTGTAGTCGGTCGGCTCCAGCGTGGTCTTCTGGAGGACTGCCTCGCGCATCGCTTACATGAGCGCGGCACTCGTCATGTTCGGCGCGATGTGGGCCCCGACCACCGTCGCCTCCTCGATCAGCTCGGCCTTCTTTGTGGAGCTGATGCCCCTCGCTGCTCCCTGCGCCTCCGTCTCGTTCCGCGGGGGCAGGTTCTCCCTGATGCTCTGCTTCAGCTCGCCCAGGCTCCAAGCGGGGCTGAAGGGGGGGCCGAGCTCGTCGTTCACCTTCACCGCTTCCGCCATGAAGAGCCCCTGCGCCCCGCTGCGCGACGCCGGCATTGCCCGCGCCCGCGTCGCACTGGCACGCGGCCCCGACGCAAGCGAGCTGGATGGCCCCTCGGAGGAAGCCGCTGCAAAGCTCTTCTCTGCCATCGACCGGCGGCGGTCGGGGATGTGGATGACGCGGGAGGCCCGGCGGCGCGGGTCGCCCCACTGTGTCGATCAGTCCACCTGCTGGAGATCGTGCCGGGCTCGAGCCGCCAAGGCTATGGGCGTGTCCGTGACCCCCGTCAGGACCTGGAGACCAGTCGGGCTGCTCGCTCGATTCTGGCTCGACTGAAGGTTGGCTGACGTTGGGGATTGCGAAAGGGGGGAAGAAAAAAAGAAGACTCGGGCACTCCTCATCTCGCACTGCGCGCCGATCCTGGCCCTGCTCTGAACCCCAGCTCGCAACTGCACTCTGCCGGCCCCGCTCAGAGACGTGGCGGCTGATCTCGATGAAGTTTTACAACTTGCCCGGGGCCCTGAGCTTCTGCTCGAGGAGGTCATGCGCCACGCTCATGTTGTGAGGGCCACCATCTGGCGATTCCTCGAGCTGGACTGAGACGTCTGGAGCCAACTTTTACATGGCACATCATGGGGGGCGACTTTAGCCGAGGTGGTTTTGTTGCGTGCGCCACTTAGTGCCATTTAGTGCGTCTTAGCGCGGCCCGCCAGCGACGCCACCCTCGCCAACTGTCACTCGCGCCGAACCGCGGAAGGACGGAAACGCAAACGGGTCACTTGTGACAGCACGTTGCCTGGGCGAACGGCCATGGAGGAACGGGTAAACCATGAAAGAAACTGCGACGCGCTCGCCTTGGGGCTGCGACGCCCAACCGGGCCCGACGCCAACGCGACCGCGGGCAAACTGCGGATCTGAACCGCAGCGGGGCTTCGAACCGCAACGGGATACGAGGGGGCGATAAAAAGAAACCGACATCCCACAGGATTCGCGCGACCGTGCTTACCGAGGACCCACTGCCCTCTGGCGGCCCCCAAGGATCCAAGGGCACGCGTCGCGAGCCTCCGCGGCTTCGGGTGACCGCTGAATACCCAGGGGAGAGAGGGGGGGGGCGGGGCGGGGAGGAGGAGGAGGATGATAATGGAGAGGAAGTGGAAAAAGGGGGGGAGAAGGGTGGAGAGGAGGAGGAGGGGGCGGGGGGGGGGGGGGGGGGGGGGGGAGGAGGGGAGGAGGAGGAGGAGGAGGAGGAGGAGGAGAGGAGGGACACAACACCAAACATGAGGGGGGCTTCTGGGGCGAGGGGGCAGGGGGGGCGGGGGGGGGGCGAGTGGATGAGCAGGGCCCACGATTATGACTAGTATCTGTCTGGCTCCATCTTCGCCACCCGCATCCTGCAATTCCATTGTGAACGACGTCGCGCTCCAGCCTCGCCTCCCGCGCCCCGCTTGGCAACGCCGAGGGGCGCTTGCCATTCTCGCGTTTTCCGAAAGCGCTGGAGACCGCAACGCAAGGACGCGCGCGTGATTAAATTCCTGGGAATGATGAAACCAGACGGGCGACATGAAAAATAACGCTGGACAGAAGGCCACGCCAAACACACTAAATGGCGCTAAATCGAAGCTGTGATTGGCCAGGGTGCTAAAGCAGGCTCACATGATTTGCCGCCTAACAACTTCACGAACGCTGGGACACTGGCGTTGCAATCCACGACTGCCCCCAGCTTCTTCAGCACCTTCTTGGGCGCGAGGATCGGGGCGCCCTTCGCGAAGCCGTCGATTGCGATGCCTCCCTGCACGCCCGCGCCCGTGATCCCGAACTTCACCTGGCCGCAGGCGCGCGCCTTCTCGCCGTTCCCGAAGCAATGCGCCGGGCGGTCGTCAATGTTCACCCCTTGGAGCCGCGTCTCCCCGTACTTCTCCATGTCCACCCGGGCAGCGATGTCGAGCGCGCGCTCGCCTCCCATGGCGCCCGTGCAACCCAGGTCGACGATCCCCTTGCCCTCGCGGATGGCCTGCTCTGCAAACGTCGCCTCGCACGTCGAGTCCCCGGACTCCGGCTCGGCAACCATCGCGGCCGCAATGCTGTATCTCAGCTCATTCCTGCAGGTGGCCACCTTCGCGCTCGCGTCTGGCGAGCTCGCCGCGCCACCTCGGAGGCGCGGGTCATGGTGGCCAAGACATTCCTGCAGCCAATGAGCTCCACCACGCCTCGTGCACTTCTTCTGGCCCTTGTTCGGTGGCTTGAGCTTGTCCCTGTTTCCGAGCTGGTGGCCCATCGGCTGGCGCGATCCCGCTGGGAATCCTCCGCCAGCTCCTCGGCCTCCGCCCTTGGCAGGGTTGGCTTGTCGCCCTCCCCTGTAGAAACCCCGGTTGAGGCGACTGTCCGCCGGTGCCTCGCGAGCCTGGCGGAGGGCCCGCTGGGCGCTGTGGATCGCGGCCAGGGCCCCCGCCTCCTCGTGCTGGGCTGCCAAATGCGTCTCGATGTCGTCCTGGTCTGCCTCGGCTTGGTCTGGCCCCTCGTCGCGCATTCCTGGAGGCCCCTGGCCCGCCGCGAAGCTGCCGGCGCCCAGGTCGCCCTCCTCGGCGTCCAACCATGTGCGATCATCGCTTCCAAGCTGGACTGCGTATGCCTTCGGGTGCATGGCCTGTCCGTCACGCTCGGCTAGGTCATCATCTTCCCAGTTCGATATCAGCTTCTCGCGTGTGATGTTATTGTCGAGCGATCCTCCCGTCGCGGTCAAGATCACCGATTTCCCACGGGAATCAATACCTGAGCGCGCGAGCATCAGCCAGCCGAGGACAAGCCCTGGATCGACATCTGGCACCTCATCGAGCTCCTCCTCAGCGTCAGCGTCCGGGGCTGCAGCACTCCAGAAGTGGGAATCCTCAGTCTCGTTGTCGCCTCGTCCGTCCGTGCACTCCCATGTCCACTCCAGATCGAACGGCCAGTCATTCTCGATCCACCTCCATGGCCTGGGCGTCTTCTGGACCGTCGATGATGAGCTGGGCACGGGGACCGACCGTCCTAGAAGAGCGCAAACGCGCGTCGGAGGTGCTGGTAGCCCGTCTCGAAGCGGTCCGTCCACTGCTGCATCGGCTCGAGCCCCCTGCGCTTCGTCTCGATCGGGAATGCCTCGAGCTCCTGGCCGACATCGGGCACAGCTTGACGCGAGCACCTTCGCTCGAGCCATGCCAGAAGCCTCTCGACCCCGTCTACTCTGGAGAGCCAGCCCGGTTTGCAGCGCTCGCCCGCGACCTCGGCCCTGCTCGTGAGTCGTGCCTCGAGCCTCGGGCCGCACAGGTACTTGTCCTCTCGCTTGGTGCCCTCCTGGTACTGGAGAGCCCTCCGTCTGTGCGCCCGCCAGGTCTTGGGGTCTCCGCCCCGGCCCGGCGCCTTCGCCCGATGATCGTCACTCGATCTCATCGCAAGGTTCCGTGTCCACCACGGGCTCCTGCTACCATGCTGCAAGTATGGTTGGGTACAGCGCAATGGTATCTTTTATCTCCGCACCCCTCGATCTTCGCCAGGTCGGGCTCCGCTCCAGGAGACCCCAATCAAATGCGCGTGCCCCCAAGCAAGCGCGAGCGAGAGGGCGCTCGCATGAGAGAGAAACGGCAACGGGCATACACAGCAAACGCGCGCTCGCCTCACATGAAATGCTCAGGCTTGTCAATAAGGAAATCTGCAAGTCGGGCAGGTTGAGTTGGTCCACGGGCGGTTCTTCATCGGCTTCAGGTCCATCGGCGTTCGGGTCGACAGCTTCGGCGTCGCGCGCGTGTTGGGCGGCCGAGGACAGGGGGGTCCGCGTTGCGCATCGTTGGGCAGCGATTGCGACCTAACTCGGTGTTGCCCCACGCCCGCGCGCAAATGTCGGTTGCGTCGTGGTTGCGGCGACGTCCGCGATGCGGCATGTTCCGGTAGATTACGTCGAGCTGCGGCCTGCGGAGGGCGGCGACGACGGCGGGCGCGCACCAGGCCATCCAGTTTTCGCGGTCGTCGATCATGCTATCGGTGAATACGCTGGGCGGTCGCGATGCGGACCACGCGCGGGCGCGCTCGTTCAGGGACTCGACGGGCATTTGAGCGCATGCGAGATCAACGCATGGACTGCGCCCGGATCTCGCACTATAGCCCACCATTGCCGGGGCTGCATTTCAGGCCAACGCTCGGGGGCCAGGACTTGAGGCGCTCGAGGATCGCCTTGCTAAAGTTGTCTAAGTTGAGGAGCTGCTGGAGCCCTGGGAGGTAGGTCTGCTGCTTGGATTTGGTGGCCTTGCTTCTGCCTTTCCCCTCGCCTGCGTCGCGGGCGCCCTTGTCAGCTTAGCGCCGAAGAATGAGAGCGCGGCGCCCCTCGGCGCCAGCTCGGCGGCGCGCTGCTCAGAATGCGCGCTCAGCGCGACAGGTCGAGCCTTGCGCGCTTGAGGGTCTTGAACAGGGAGCCCTTGCACGCCGGGAATAATTTGCTGTTGAGCGCGAGGGCGATGCGCCGGGCGATCGAGAGCTCGTCATCCCTGCAGTCGGCGCGCCAGCGGCCCGCCTCGATCTGGGCCGCGGGCAGGGCGTCCTCCGCAGCGGCTCGGCGTCGTTGTAGGCCTCCGCGGCGTGGGCCACCGCGGCGCCGCGCAAGTGCTCGAAGCGGACGCGTTCGTGGGCCTTCTTGAGGATTCTCGCCCCCCGCACTTCCGATATTTACCCGTTGTTTTTTGTCCGTGAGATTGGCGATTATTTGCGTCTGCGTGTTTTGCCCCTCCTGACCGTGGTCCGCTCAGCCGCTCCGCCCTGCCGCATCGGCCATATCGGGCCCGGCCGCTCCTACTTCGCGAGTCGTCCAGCGAGCTGCCTGCCTCGGCGGCTGCCCCATCACGCGACGCGCTGAGCTGATGCTGCCGTCGCAACTCCTGCCTTGCCTCCCCGCCGCGCGCCCGGCGAGTCGGCCCCTTGCCGGCGCCGAGGGCGCCGCGCGCCACCCGCGAAAATCCCGATTGCTCCAGCTCGTCGGGCTCGACGTTCCAGTTGGCCTGGATGACCTGCGCCCTGTCCATGCCCAACTCCAGCT